ACTGAAGATAAAAGTATGGACAACTTTTTCCAAATCCTGCTGTGACATTAGTCTTTTAATCCTAGATATGTTCTTTAGGTGATAGTAGGCTGATTTAGTAACTGTTTTAATGTGAATGTTGAAACTCAGGTCAGAGTCCATGACTACACCTAGATTTCTGGCTTTATCTGTTTTTTTTAACATTGCACACTGAAGCTCAGCGCTCATTTTTATACGTTCTGCCTTGGCTCCAAAAACCTGCTTCAAACTGAGCTGAAACTCAGAGAGCTGTACATTATACACACTCAAAGCAACTTTAACTGACCTTGAAGCAGGACGCTCTGTCTGTAAATGCTTTGGCTAAACTTGGTGTATGACTGTGTTGTGATTGTGTGTTTTTTAATTGTCTGTAACTGTAAAACTGTCTGAAACTGTGCTGTTACCATTCTTGGGCCAGGACTCTCTTGAAAAAGAGATTTTTAATCTCAATGAGACCTATCCTGGTTAAATAAAGGTAAAATTAAAATTAAATAAATTACAAAACTTCAGAGATTACCAGAGGTGGAGTTATTTCCGCAGGGACTGGCCTGTTTGGAGAAAGCCATCAGATTTGCAGATCAGCTTCATGTTGTTGACACTTCAGGGGTGGAACCAATGGATTCAGTTCTGGAGGACAGGTAAGGTTCAACCAGTTATCAAAACAAGTATATTTGTATATTGGCCTCCTCATCCCAGCTATATCAAATGAGCCCCAACTGTAGCACAGTTTTAAACTGAGCCGATTGCATGAATATTGTTATGTCTCATACATGCTCATTCAGGTCATTAAACCTTAGGGAGGATGCAGTGACGGAAGGGGACTGTGCTGAAGAACTGCTTCAGCTCTCCAAACACACCGTTGAGGAATATTTTGTGGCACCACCAGGTGAGAAAAAACCCTGAATACATGTATTTTTAAGCATTAGAGGGGATTGAATCATTGGTTTTAAAGGTCACCTATTATGCAAAATCCACGTTTTCATGTATTTTATACATCAACATGTGTCCCCTCTGTGTAAAGAGATTCTGAAAGTTTCAGGAAAAAAGATTCGCTCACTTTTTGTCCTGATCCATTTATATAAAAACCTGTCTGAAAATGAGCTGATCAGATTTTGCCCACTATTTTGGCTTGTGTAACCATTAGCCAATAACCAACCAAGGTAACCCCCCCCCCCCCCCCCCCCTTATCACCTGAATCTCCTCCTAGAGCACCATTGTGTTCTTCTTAACCAAATCTCTCTCAGAGGGGCGTGGGGAGTGGCTCCTTATTTTCATCTAAAGTAACAGACAGAGAATCAGCATTTTTTAAACAGGGCTGAAACAGAGGGGATTATGGGATGCTACAATGATCTGTTTGGTATTTGGAGCCAAACACACACAGAGACATGTTTTGTATATATCTGAGACCTATAATATGTTGATGAAAAAGAGTATAATAGGGGACCTTTAAATAATTAAGAGTATATGGGAATGAAACTGAACAAGGCCTCATTGGTTGCTGATGTATTTCTGCCTCTCTACATTTGCCTGCACTATATGCTCTTCCCATACATTTGTACTATTGGCTTCTCTATGTCTGAATAACTAATCAGAGTTTTAAAAAAATATTAATATGGACTTTTGCAATATTCAAATCGCACAAGGCACAATATTTGATAAGGTTAAATGTGTGTAAAGATACTATTTTCTATTAAGCAGTGTTGTGATTCACAAACCAGATTCTAAACGCTTAAAGGTCCCATGTCATGGCCATTTCCACTGATCATAATTCCATTGTTGAGGTCTACTAGAATAGATTTATATTGTGCAATTTTCCAAACTCACATTGGTTTCTCATACAGCATCTCTGTAAACTACTTGTATTTACTGAATTTCACTCGATAGCGAGTTAGCGATACACAGCCAAACACAGCCAAACTCATCCTGAGCACACACAAAGTCACAGCCGAAGTAAAAACAATAAGTGTGGCTTGATATTGAGTAAGAAAAAGGTTGATAAACGCTGTGAGAATGGGTCTGCAGAGAGAATTTCGCCGCGATCCCAACTGTCTGTTATCAGCCTGCAGCCAGGGAGGAGAAATCAGCAGAGCTGCCTGCACACTGTATGTGTGTGAGGAAGTCCGTGGATTGGTCAATTTGGACCAATCAGCGGGGGCTTAACGTAACGGCTCCACGGACGTAACGTAACGGCTCCACGGATTGGTCCATTTCGTTCCGGGTACGGCTTGACATCATGCCGTACCCGGAACGAAATGGAAGAATCAAATGGACAATGATGTATCTCCAACGAGCAGTGGCGGCTCCAGAGTATTTTTGTTGGGTAATCTATGGTAGGGCTAACCCATACAGTGGTGGGGCTCAAGTCAGTATTTGCAATGTAATTACATACACGCTATATCGCCCCCCTTGACAGTGAAACGCCACGCGTGAGGTTTAGATTATTTCCCTGTCTCAATCCAAATTGAACTGTATGAAATAAAAAGGCACATTTGCCTTGTAGTAAATAAAAAGGGCGACCTGGAGCCAATCCTGCAATTTCCCCACAGGTGAAAGAGTTGACATGCTGAAGACCCAACCCCTGCAGGGGGTTCTGGGGGGATTCTCCCCCAGGAAAATATACATTCTGGTACTCTCTTGAGAAGAAAAATAAATAAATCTATTACTACAGTAGACGACATATTTAAAAAATTGAATGCCATTTTTGTGTTTTGTTACTTTGTTCTGAAAGCTGAACCTGCTGCTCCTCACAGAGAGAAGAGGGAAGAGGCTGTGTGAATTACTTTACATTGTGGATAAGGGTGGATAGCCCCCATTGTTCTGTGTGTCAAAATGAAAGACAGCCCACACACCTATCAATCATCAAACCGTGGGGTCTTAATTCATTACGTGTTGATTTCTATCAACACGTAATGTTGTATCGATGTATAAAGAGATGTACTACAGCAAAAGTATTCTCCGTCGGGACTTCCTGCAACAACACCACGTTATCGTGATTCTGATTGGCCAGAAGACATTATCAAAGATGTTTTATTGAGAAGACGATCACTACGTGACAAAAGTTTTCAAAACCGTTTCTAGTCTTCGGTATTTCCAGACAAGTGGCTACTGAAATCAATCTTACTAACTGCTGTCTGTGCAATTTACTCCGTGCGAGTTGGTGAACTTTATTTTGCTTACTTTAACATCATTTGTCATGGTGGGGCTAAGCCATTTGTTGGTATCGCTGTAGCCTACCCCAGCCATACCCTGGCGCCGCCACTGCCAACGAGGCGTTTTGGGGAGGTATTTTCTGTGTTACTGTTTTACTCGCTACAGGGTGTACTTTGAGGGTTTGTGACTCTGCACACCGTTTACATGCATAAAAACCTTCATAACACACAAGGGGACGGGTAATAACCGGAAAAGCATGACATGGGACCTTTAAGAAATCTTAGTTTGGTACAGATCCTCGCAAAAAACATCAACATGATCAATTTCATATATCATTCAATGAAAATAAGATTAATGATGCAATAATCACCATTCCCTCCAACATAGTCAGATATATCATAATTGCAATGAAAGTCAAATTAAACGTAATAAAAAAAAATGTCTATATTGTTCTGCTCTAGCCCTCAGTGTATAAATCTCCCTGTGTATTCCCATCTTAACGTCTATACCTGTGCTTCTATCTACAGTTTGTATGTTGGCAACTGTCTCTCTTTTTTTATCCTGTATATATCTTATTAATTTCACACTGTTCATACTCTAGGCATCATACCCTGAGCATTTTGTAATCAATCCATTTAGTTATTCTCTATATGCTCTGTACATTAATTTAAACTAAAGGATGATGTATAGTTTTCATCCTGTTTGATTGTAATTGTAAATATCCTTAACTGACATTTTTTATTTTCACCACAGGAAATATTCCTCTACCAACGAGGGAGGAAAGGGCCACCATACTGAAACACTCAGAGTTATGATATTTATTACAAATAGTACATTTTGGAAGTTAAATAAAAACCTTAAAGTACTGCATTAAGATTGTGTTATTGTTATTGTTCAGTTTCATTTACACCTGCAGTTTGGTTACTTCTCTTCTTAGTTTCGGTTTCATGTTAGCAACATGGTGAGTCAGCAGTGTTTGGACAACCTCTGTTATGAGGACATTGATAAGGAATGTTGTACAGGGCTTGTGACTTACATTGTGACAGTGATTGTCATGTGTCCTGTTTTTATTCAAGTGTTGTTTAACTTTGGTGTTAAAAAATATTTTCTATCTTTTTGTTTTTGTTTGTTTTAGGTTTACTGTGTGTGGCTAATAATAGACTCTGACGTGTTATTTAGATTTTATCTGATGAAAGGATTTTCCCTTTCCTGTCGGTGAATGATATAACCTGTGAATCATAAACGTGCCTTACGGCTCTGATCCAATCACTTGTATATATAGACTCTTATTGCACTATTTCCCTATTTTACTAATTATTTTTATTATTATTACTGACACTACTTTTTCAGTTTAAAAAAAAAAAACGTTTTAGTCTGTATTATTATTTAAGATACAAACTCATTATCACAGGAGGAGGGCCAGGTAAAGACCTGAATGAACAGAGCTTTCCCTCTATGTTGAACAGTCGTACTGTCCCGCAGCTGCTGCCTCTCTGTTGGAGTCCGGTACTGCACATTACTCACGGGACGTTTCTCTGTGAAACATTCGGGGCTTTTCAGAAAACATCCGGGGCATGAGCCCAAGTAGCCACCCCCTAGCTCCGCCACTGCAAAGACTCACTTTTAGTTTATCAGGAGTCGTCAGTTTATTCACTTACAGCAAACAACTTCACGTCATGGAAAAAGTCCCGGACTACGCCCTCGTGCACTTTACAATGTCCAAAACACTGCAGGTCATTTTTGGAGAATAGAAACCGAAAAGGATGAAGGCATGGAAGGGAAAACGAATCTTAAACCAGGGGGCGGGCTCGATCAGCTGGGCAGACTGTATATAAACAGAGGAGAGAAGAAGCCTGCGTCAGCTGCTCCGGATCATCGATTCCTGTCACTGTCTAAAGAAGAGCGAAGATTTCTGGAGGATTTTTCTAAACTTATCTCAAGGTACGAACTTGTCTTTATCAGCACTGTCATGAAATGTACCGTGATACATTATTCTCTGGGTGACATTTTTTTTCTAGTGGACTTATTTGTATTAATGTATTTAGTGATGTAAAGTATAGAACATATTCACTGTACTTTTGTTTTTTAATGAGGGACTTGTAGTTATTTATTTAAATGTTTTGCTACTTTGTTCTAATAAAGTTCAAAGGTAAATAGTGTACTTTTACTCCACTGCATTTATTTATTACATTTAGTTACCTTGCAGATTTGCATTAATGGTGTGAAATGGTTACCCTAGTATTCACTTTTATTTAATAGGCTGCACCTTTACCAGCTTTGATAACACTTTAATGTATCAATAAAATATAATCAAAACATGTAACTTGTATTTTTCTGAAATAGGCCAATCTGCATAATATGTACTTTTACCTTTGGTACTTTAAGTATATTTTTATGCTAATATTTTTGTACTTTTACTTAAGTAACATTTTGAATGCACGACTTTTACTTGTAAAAGAGTATTCCTACACTCTGGTACTTCTACTTTTAATTAAGTACACACTCTTCGTTTTTCTTCCACCTCTAAATGTATTTACCTATCTTTCAGGCCACTTTCATCATGGATCTAACCATCAGTCTGATGAATGGGAGCTCCCACACCCTGAGGGTGCACCCGCAGGACACAGTGGGCTCTCTGAAAATACTCATCCAGCAGAAACTAGGGTTTTCATGTGAGTCCCAGAAGCTGGTCTTTGAGAACGGCTGCAGCACAACTCTCAACAACGACTCTGCGACCCTCGAGTCCTACGGCCTGCACTCCGGGGCCAGGGTGAACCTGCTGGTGACCACACCAGCCATAATCCAGGTGTTCCTCAAAAACGACAAGGGGGTAAGCAGCACGTATGACATCAAACCGGATGAGACGGTGAGCCACTTCAAGAGCAGGGTGGAGGAGAGAGAGCGGGTCCCGGTGAGCCAGCAGAGTCTCGTCCACGAGGGCAAAGTGATGAACGAGGGGAAACTCTCCGACTACAACGTCCGAGCGCATAGCACCATCTCCCTGAACCTGCGCCTGAGAGGAGGCTGTGGACACTTCCGGTTAATAGAAACTTCTGGACATTCCTTTATTTCATCTTAAAATGAAGATCATTTAGCTTGTATTTTATTTATTTAAATTTAAATTGCACTCATTAATACATTCCTCGATTAGAAATCATTCCAAAAAGAAAACTTTCTTTGTTTTGGCTTAACAAATATGTTATGAACACATCTTCATGTTATAATTTTAATTATGAGCAAATTGGTTCCACTGCATGTTTTTAAAGCTCGGATAAGTGCAATGATACTTGATACTGTTGGTACTTGTCAATGTCGCTAGGTATGTAAATGTAGTCCTGTAAATATGATGTCCTTTATTGTTTTCTGTTGTTTTCTGTTTCATGTTGTAACATACTTGCTGCCATGTTGGGCAGGTCTCCCTTGAAAAAGAGATCGATGATCTCAATGGGACCACCTGGTTAAATAAAGGTTTGAATGAATGACACTTCAAAATCTGACTACATCAAATGTACACTGTTAAAAAATAATAAAGATTTTAATCTTGCATGTCTGTTCTCATTTCCTGTTCTTTGCTGAATCTTCAGCTCAGGGTTGAGCTGCACTCTGTACAGACCACAACCATACGAAGTAACCAGAAAGGCACACTAGCATTGGATTAAAATTGACATTATGATCAAAATCATAATGAATGTTCACTACAGTATCACATTTCTGTAAGCAGTGCTCTGTAGAAAAAACACTTAGGCCTACATGTATTATGTTGTCATTACAAATGTACTAACATACCAAAGCAGTATGTTATAAAGGCTTAAACTCATTGTACAGGTTTCTTAGGTGTATCCAAATAACTGTATGTGAGAATTAGTGTCCATTTTAGAAACAGGTCAAAAGGTAGTAGAGGAAACAGCCAGATGTTAAAGCCACAGCTTCCGGTTCAGTGAGGTTAGGTCGGGAAGCTTTATTTCCTCACAGATGCAAGGTAGGCGTACCAAAATAAGGCGACCATGTTGGCAAACAGCACTCGGAACTGAAAGCAAAAACAGAGACAGGAAGGGAAGGGGGAAACCATTACAAGTGATTCATCTTTTGTTTGATGACAGGATGCCAATGAATGAAGGGCATACCTCGACAGGCACAAAGTTGATATTGACGAACTGAAAGGGAGTCCACACTTTACAGTTCATTTTCAAGGCAGTCCAGTAACTTCCTCTCATCTTGCTTTCAAAGTCTCTCCATCCTTTTGCCTGGGAAAAAGATGGGATGGTCATTTAATTTATTTTTCATTTGTCTATATGAAAACTATATAGCATGTGTTTACTACACAATTAACGTGAAGACACTGGACCAAATACTGTGGTCAAAATGTAGGATGAAGCATTGCATGAGTGTTTTAATCATATGTTAAAAGGGGCAGTCTGCCATTTGAACACATTAGATTAGTAATGGGGAAAAGAACTGCGAGCATAGCAATGATCTTTTTTGCATAGCAGAGGTCTGTTGTATAGAAAAACAGACAGAAGAATGCAGTTGACAATCAGAATCAAGTATTCACAAATCTGTTCACGAATAAATATAATTTTATCTGAGATAATGATCGTTTTGGCCATGTTTTATCAAATTTAGCAAGAGAAGAACAGGTGGGTAAATGTCAGTTCTGCATGAGTCTGGAGCACAGGTTTTCAATGAAAGACGGGTTTGATCCGCATCTAGGAAGGTCATTTCAGGGGCTTTTTAAATCTCTGATTTTTAAAACTGTAAAGACCTTTAATAGGAAGTTCTATTAAACCTGTATAATGCAAACACATTTGAACAAAAAAACTGTTGTGACTAACTGGGTTATTGAAAATATGCTTTCATGTTGCATGACAGGAAGTGTATCCTCAATTCTTTTCCTTCAACCATACTAAAACCAATTGCTCCCTCTGCTGCAGCAATTTTGTAGTTCCCACAACTTAATGCAATCTCAAATCACTACAGAGCTCCTTTAATCTGAGGGTAAGGGGGACAGTTTCTGAGATGACCTACCTCCAGGATGTTCATAACCAAGTAGAAAATCAGCAGAAAGCCAGGGGCAAAAATAAGCCGATCCAGTCGCAGACGTTTGACTATGCAGAGTGGGTCTGTCGTGGGCATCCACACCTCCATCAGCTGGTAGAAGATATGGCTCACTGGTCCTGTGATAAGAAACCTGAAATACACAGGAACATAGACAGGTAATTTTCCAACAATTGGTGATGCATTTTAGCTCACAATCACAAACCATTACATGTATTTTCCTGTTATTTAGCACATCAACCCTCAATTTTGTTTCCATATAAGGTCTCACCCAAAGGTTGCATATCGAGCAGCGGCAGCCGGGTCGATCTCACCGACCGGGGCTCCACTCTTGTTCTTTTTTCTTGCCTCCAAAATCTGAGACAGAAGATGTCCTAAAGGTGAGCTCTGACATTTTACAGAGAACATAATAAATCTACAAGATAATCAGTGGATTAATTGATTATGAAAATAATATTTAGGTGTGGCTTTGGTTTTGAGGGACAAAATCTCACAATATTGTCAGCATTACAAAACTTCAGAGATTACCAGAGGTGGAGTTATTGGGCTTGAGTCATGGCAGTGCGTGCTGATTAGAAATGATTAATGGAGGCAATTACTTTATTCAATGGTTACTAACAGTCAACCTGTTAAGCCCTTAGCCTGTTTTTCAGGTCTCAGGCTCGAAAATGACATTCCCAGAACAAATGACCATATCTTCCCTTCTAAAAGGGTTAAATTAATAATCTTTTTTCTCAAAATAATGATAAACCTGTGAGTTGGATGTAGAAAAGTCAGAATCAATATAGATGTTTTTTATTTTAAAGAAAATTCAGATTTTACATAGTAAAAACTGTAAATTATAGTGTCCGTCCAAAAATTCTTTTTTACTTATAGTGAAAACCACCCTTGGATGATGGTAAGGTAGACTAAAAGCTTTAGGAATCCAAAGTACAACATATAATAAGTACCCTGTATCAAGATTGAAGCTAAACAAGTGACATTTGACCTTTTTAGAGAGATTTAGCAAAAAGAAACCACTTCTGGGGTCATTTGGGTGGATTTTCCATATCTCTGGCCCCTCTTGCTCGATTTTGATGGTTGACACCTCTTTCTGACCGTTAGAGCCAATAGAATCGAAGGGGGAGTCCCCCACACACACTCATTGTGAAACGAAAAGGAGGGGGCTTTGCGCATGTAATTTTCCATCAGAGTGAACCTATCTCTAGCTTTGACATCTGGAAACGGAAAAGCAGTTTTAATGCTTATGGATTATCAGAAATCATTTCAAAGGGACACAGACACATTGGATTAACCTATGGATTAACTTCAGCAGCGTTTTTATCGTTTTAATGCCATTGAAGACCACTTTGGAGAGACTACAGAGCCAAGGTAAACATTTTAGCATTTTTAGCTACGTAGCGTCACCTGTTTTGATGTCCGTTTTGTCGCAAATTCGTATAATTCAGTGATAATGTTGGTGTCCATCGATTCTGTGTCACCTCACGATGTGAAACGATGTCATGGATGTAGAGAAGAGATAAATAATAAGGTTTTGTGAGTGATTTTCGGTGCAGCAAGGTGTTAGCATTTTTCGCTCGTTGCTAATTCAGAGGCTCAGTGTTAGCATTGTGGGTTTTCTTTTGAAAAAAAAAAAGAAATGATCAGTTAGATGAGTTTCTTCCCGTTACATGGATATAAAACATTCATAGTTTATTAAATGAACATGCCCTCAGACACTGTTTCCTGCAAGATGTTGCGGCAGTGCCCCGGTACCGGGGTCTCTCGGGCTTAACAGGTTAAACACATTCTTAAAATGTTCGGGAAAGAATGGTTCAGCCAGTTATGAAAACAGTATATTTGTATATTGGCCTCCTCATCCCAGCTATATCAAATGAGCCCCAACTGCAGCACAGTTTTAAACTGAGCCGATTGCATGAATATTGTTATGTCTCATCCATGCTCATTCAGGTCATTAAACCTTAGGGAGGATGCAGTAACGGAAGGGGACTGTGCTGAAGAACTGCTTCAGCTCTCCAAACACACTGTTGAAGAATATTTTGTGGCACCACCAGGTGAGAAAAAACCCTGAATACATGTATTTTTAAGCAATAGAGGGGATTGAATCATTGGTTTTAAAGGTCACCTATTATGCAAAATTCACTTTTTCATGTCTTTTATACATAAACATGTGTCCCCTCTGTGTAAAGAGATTCTGAAAGTTTCAGGAAAAAAGATTCTCTCACTTTTTGTCCTGATCCAGTTATAGAAAAACCTGTCTGAAAATGAGCTGATCAGATTTTGCCCACTTTATGATGTCACAAAGTTACTTTGGCTTGTGTAACCATTAGCCAATTGTGTAACCCCCCCCCCACCTTATCACCTGAATCTCCTCCTCGAGCACCATTGTGTTCTTTTTAACCAAATATCTCTCAGACGGGCGTGGGGAGTGGCTCCTTATTTTCATCTAAAGTAACAGACAGAGAATCAGCACTTTTGAAACAGGGCTGAAACAGAGGGGATTATGGGATGCTACCAGTGGCGTCGCCTGGCCTGGGCATCCGGGGCTTTAGCCCCGAATGTTTTTTCTGTAGCCCCGGACAATTCTCCCTCAATAATATAATACATTAACCGTGCTTTACGTGAACCTCATCATGACACAAGAGAGGACGGCAGCACTGTAATTTCCCATGTTCAGTGAATGCAACAGAGGCATGACACCAGACCAATCAGAGAGTTGCATGGAAATAAACGTGTGCTTGTGTCATTCAAGCTCGGCTCTGTGTGTGTGTGTGGCAATAGCGCATTTAGTGTGATAGAGAGAGAGAGAGGGAGAGAGGGGGAGAGAGGGACCGGTGTCAGCATGGACCGTGTTGTTAGCATCTGGTTAGCTAGCTGCACTAACGGACATAAGGAGCTGTTTGTTCCACAAGAAGCTGGAGGAGAGTCCTCTCCTCTCAGACTGAGAGACTCAGGTGAGCTAAAGGACTCTCTGAGTGTTTAGATAGTTAACTTTAGTCTAAGTTATCTCAGTGGGTCTCAAACGGTTTGGTCACAAATTATTCAAAAGATTATTTCCGCAGCACACCTTCATATGATCATTATAGTTATTAAAAAAAAGAGAATAAAGGAAAAACAGTTATGAAATACTATATGGCAGTAAAACAAGAATAGAGTTTAAAAGGGGAGTGATTAGTAAAAATATCCATAAAGAAAAAGTACATCTGTTTACAGTTCTGCTTCATATGGGTGTTGAGAGAGGTATCCATAGATCTCTTCATTTTGCTCTCAAAGTGCACCAGATTGATGCATTTAACTTCAATATTTAAAAAAAAATCTTCCCGGGGGAGCATCCCCCCGGACCCCCCTAGAGGAGGTGAGCCCCCCACTCATAAAAAATACCACTTTACCCCTGTCTATATGCCTGAGCTGATTATCGAGCCTTCATTGTAACAGTCGCGGGTGTATGTGTGTGCGTGTGGGGAGTGTTGCAGTAAAAAATGCCACTGTAGTGCCGCCGCCACTGTGGGCTAAGCCCCGAATCTTTTCAGGTCCAGGCGACGCCCCTGGATGCTCCAATGATCTGTTTGGTATTTGGAGCCAAAAACTTCAGAGACATGTTTTGTATATATCTGAGACCTATAATATATTGATGAAAAAGAGTATAATAGGGGACCTTTAAATAAAGTGGACCTATCATGCTATATTTAAATGATATATTGTAGGGCCATACCTATATAAGGTATATTTATACGTTTCTGTTTTCAAAATACCAAACAGATCATGCATTTTAGCCATGCCTCATTTCGCTCTATGTGCTGTTTGCTGTCTACGGGTCTGATTCTGCTGACCACGCCCCCATGCAGGAGAGGGGAGACGTGCTCTGATCAGCTGCTGGGCTGTCAGAAGAGGGGGAGAAAAAGAGATCTCTGTCCTCCGTGTTTTATTATATAGAGTCGTTATTCATTTGTTTTAAAGTTCAATAAATAACAAAAAAGACCTTTGACCGGCACTTTTCTAATTTTGTCCGGAAGATTTAAACTTTAACGGACATCTTGACCGGCGAAACAAACTGAAACTGAAACTCTGCCGCACGGTCCCCTCGTTCCTTGGAAGAGGCGGAGAGGTGGGTGTTTGTCATCTGCTGGTGGACTAACCGGAGAGAATTACAGTGCTTGCCTCGACGGGGAGGGATTGCATTGAATTAAAGCAGCAGGAGCAAACGCTTGCCTCGGGGAGTGAGAAAAAAAGCCACAGCGGAGAATAAACAGAAGGGTAACCATGGTAACTATGGGCGGGAAGTCTTCTTCGCTGCTTTTGTGGCAGACTACAGCGCCACTTACAGGCCTGGCATATGTACTACAGCGTCTCCAGCGCTTTCGAACGGCAATGGCCGTGGCTGTCTCCTTCTGATTGGTGGAGTTGGCCCAATAGCCGTAGCGCCACCGTCCTGACGTCAGGACAGTGTTCAAATCTGGATCAGTTTTTATCAGATCCGTTGCAGCCCCTTTTTTAGAGATTTGGGTATGGAGGAAAATAGAGAGTGTTGTGTTTTCTGACACTTGGTGAGTTCCCTGGAACACCGGGGACACATATTCATGTATAAAAGACGTACAAAAGTGCATTTTGCATGATAGGTCCCCGTTAATTAAGAGTATATGGGAATGAAACTGAACAAGGCCTCATTGGTTGCTGATGTACTTCTGCCTCTCTACACTTGCCTGCACTATATGCTCTTCCCATATATTTGCACTACTGGCTTCTCTATGGCTGAATAGCAATTCAGAGTTTTTTCCAAATATTAATATGGACTAGTGCAATATCCAAATCGCACAAGGCACAATATTAGATGAGGTTAAATGTGTGTAAAGATACCATTTTCTATTAGGCAGTGTTGTGATTCACAAACCAGATTCTAAAGACTTAAGAAATCTTAGTTAGGTACAGATCCTCGCAAAAGAAATCCGCATGATCAATTTCATATATTATTCAATGAAAATAAGATTAATGATGCAATAATCACCATTCCCTCCAACATAGTGAGATATATCACAATTGCAATGAAAGTCAAATTAAACGCAATTACATTTTTTTTTTCTATATTGTTCTGCTCTAGCCCTCATTGTATACATCGCCCTGTGTATTCACATCTTAACGTCTATACCTGTGCTTCTATCTACAGTTTGTATGTTGGCAACTGTCCCTCTTTTATTATCCTGTATATATCTTATTCATTTCACACTGTTCATACTGTTAATACTGTAGGCATCATACCCTGAGCGTTTTGTTATCAATCCGTTTAGTTATTCTCTATATGCTCTGTACATTAATTTAAAGGGGACCTATCATGCAAAATGCACTTTTGTACGTCTTTTATACATGAATATGTGTCCCTGGTGTTCCAGGGAACTCACCATGTGTCAGAAAACACAACCCTCTCTATTTTCCTCCATACCCAAATCTCTAAAAAAGGGGCTGCAACGGATCTGATAAAAACTGATCCAGATTTGAACACTGTCCTGACGTCAGGACGGTGGCGCTACGGCTATTGGGCCAACTCCACCAATCAGGAGGAGACAGCCACGGCCATTGCCGTTCGAAAGCGCTGGAGACGCTGTAGTACATATGCCAGGCCTGTAAGTGGCACTGTAGTCTGCCACAAAAGCAGCGAAGAAGACTTCCCGCCCATAGTTACCATGGTTACCCTTCTGTTTATTCTCCGCTGTGGCTTTTTCTTCTCCCTCCCCGAGGCAAGCGTTTGCTCCCGCTGCTTTAATTCAATGCAATCCCTCCCCGTCGAGGCAATTCTCTCCGGTTAGTCCACCAGCAGATGACAAACACCCACCTCTCCGCCTCTTCCAAGGAACGAGGGGACCGTGCGGCAGAGTTTCAGTTTCAGTTTGTTTCGCCGGTCAAGATGTACGTTAAAGTTTAAATCTTCCGAACAAAATTAGAAAAGTGCCGGTCAAAGGTCTTCTTTGTTATTTATTGAGCTTTAAAACAAATGAATAACGACTCTATATAATAAAACACGGAGGACGGAGATCTCTTTTTCTCCCCCTCTTCTGACAGCCCAGCAGCTGATCTCCTGCAGGGGGGCGTGGTCAGCAGAATCAGACCCGTAGACAGCAAACAGCACATAGAGCGGAATGAGGCATGGCTAAAATGCATGATCTGTTTGGTATTTTGAAAACAGAAACGTATAAATATACCTTATATAGGTATGGCCCTACAATATATCATTTAAATATAGCATGATAGGTCCACTTTAAACTAAAGGATGATGTATCGTTTTCATCCTGTTTGATTGTAATTGTAAATATCCTCAACTGACATTTATTTATTTCACCACAGGAAATATTCCTCTACCAACGAGGGAGGAAAGGGCCACCATACTGAAACACTCAGAGTTATGATATTTATTACAAATAGTACATTTTGGAAGTTAAATAAAAACCTTAAAGTACTGCATTAAGATTGTGTTATTGTTATTGTTCGGTTTCATTTACACCTGCAGTTTGGTTACTTCTCTTCTTAGTTTCAGTTTCATGTTAGCAAAATGGTGAGTCAGCAGTGTTTTGACAACCTGTGTTATGAGGAATTCATAAGGAATGTTGCACAGGGCTTGTGACTTACATTGTGACAGTGATTGTCATGTGTCCTGTTTTTATTCAAGTGTTGTTTAACTTTGGTGTTAAAAAATATTTTCTATCTTTTTGTTTTGTTTATTTTAGGTTTACTGTGTGTGGCTAAAAATAGACTCTGACGTGTTATTTATTTATTATTTTATCTGATGAAAGGATTTTCCCTTTCCTTTTAAAAACTAGACCTGTCGGTGCATGATATAATCTGTGAATCATAAACGTGCCTTAAGGCTCTGATCCAATCACTTGCAGGTCATTTTTGGAGAATAGAAACCGAAAATGATGAAGGCATGGAAGGGAAAACGAATATTAAACCAGGGGGCGGGCTCGATCAGCTGGGCAAACTGTATATAAACAGAGGAGAGAAGAAGCCTGCGTCAGCTGCTCCGGATCATCGATTCCTGTCACAAGAAGAGCGACGATTTCTGGAGGATTTTTCTAAATTTATCTCAAGGTACGAAGTTTTCTTTATCAGCACTGTAATGTATTCAGTGATGTAAAGTATAGAATATATTCACTGTACTTTTTTCTTTATTTTTAATGAGGGACTTGTAGTTATTTATTTATATGTTTTGCTACTTTGTACTTATAAAGTTTAAAGGTAAATAGTGTACATTTATTACATTTAGTTACCTCGCAGATTTGCATTAATGGTGGGAAATATAATCAACACTTAAATAAGACTTTAGTTACACCTGGATTAAATTCACCATTTATTTAATAGGCTGCACCTTTACCAGCTTTGAAAACACTTTAATGTATCAATAAAATATAATCAAATCATGTAACTTATATTTTTCTGAAATAGGCTAATCTGCATAATATGTACTTTTACTTTTGGCACTTTCAGTATATTTTTATGCTAATACTTTGTACTTTAATTTGAGCAGGACTTTTACTTGTAAACAAGTATTCCTACACTCTGGTACTTCTACTTTAAATTGAATACACCTCTGAATGTATTTACCTATCTTTACAGGCCACTTTCATCATGGATCTAACTATCAGTCTGCTGAATGGGAGCTCCCACACCCTGAGGGTGCACCCGCAGGACACAGTGGGCTCTCTGAAAAAACTCATCCAGCAGAAACTAGGGTTTTCATGTGAGACCCAGAAGCTGGTCTTTGTGAACGGCTCTAGCACAACTCTCAACAACGACTCTGCGACCCTCGAGTCCTACAGCCTGCGCTCCGGGGCCAGGCTGTCCCTGCTGGTGACCCCGGTGACCCCGCCGGCTCCGCCGGCCCCAATCCAGGTGTTCTTCCAAAACGATAAGGGGGTAAACACCACGTATGACATCAAACCGGATGAGACGGTGAGCCACTTCAAGAGCAGGGTGGAGGCCAGAGAGGGGGTCGCGGTGAGCCAGCAGAGGCTCATCCACGAGGGCAAAGAGATGAACGAGGGGAAACTCTCCAACTACAACGTCCGAGCGAATAGCACCATCTTCCAGACCCTGCGCCTGAGAGGAGGCTGAGGACACTTCCAGTTAAAAGAAACTTCTGGACATTCCTTTATTTCATCTTAAAATGAAGATCATTTAGCTTGTATTTTATTTATTTAAATTTAAATTGCACTCATTAATACATTCCTTGATTAGAAATCATTCCAAAAAGAAAACTTTCTTTGTTTTGGCTTTACAAATATGTTATAAACACGTCTTCATGTTATAGTTTTATTATGACACTTCAAATCTGACTACATCAAATGTACACTGTTAAAAAATAATAAAGATCTTAATCTTGCATGTCTGTTCTCATTTCCTGTTCTTTGCTGAATCTTCAGCTCAGGGTTGAGCTGCACTCTGTACAGACCACAACCATACGAAGTAACCAGAAAGGCACACTTTAGCATTGGATTAAAATTGACATTATGATCAAAATCATAATCAATGTTCACTACAGTATCACATTTCTGTAAGCAGTGCTCTGTAAAAAAAACACTTACATGTATTATTTTGTCATTACAAATGTACTAACATACCAAAGCAGTATGTTATAAAGGCTTAAACTCATTGTACAGGTTTCTTAGGTTTATCCAAATAACTGTATGTGAGAATTAGTGTCCATCTTAGAAACAGGTAAAAAGGTAGTAGAGGACACAGCCCGATGTTAAAGCCACAGCTTCCGGTTCAGTGAGGTTAGGTCGGGAAGCTTTATTTCCTCACAGATGCAAGGTAGGCGTACCAAAATAAGGCGACCATGTTGACAAACAGCACTCGGAACTGAAAGCAAAAACAGACACAGGAAGGGAAGGGGGAAACCATTACAAGTGATTCATCTTTTGTTTGATGACAGGATGCCAATGAATGAAGGGCATACCTCGACAGGCACAAAGTTGATATTGACAAACTGAAAGGGAGTCCACACTTTCCAGTTCATTTTCAAGGCAGTCCAGTAACTTCCTCTCATCTTGCTTTCAAAGTCTCTCCATCCTTTTGCCTGGAAAAAAGATGGTATGGTCATTTAGTTTGATATGTTCTTCATTTGTATATGAAAACGATATAGCATTTGTTTACTATACAATTAACATGAAGACACTGGAACAAATACTGTGGTCAAAATGTAGGATGAAGCATTGCATGAGTGTTTTGATCATTTCAGTCAGACAACTCACGTGTTTCTTTAACATGTTTATTCGAAGCAGCATAGAGTTGAGTTTGGCGTCTAGGCTCGGGCCTCATCACTCCACAGATATACATAGCACGATGAGTGATGATTAAATAACTAACCCCCCGAGCATACAGGTGGAAGCTGGGGTGGTGGTGGTGGTGGGGCAGGCAAGCAGCAGCGACGTGGAAGTAGCTGCAGCAATAGCAGCAGCAAGCAATGCATGGAGAGATATCTGGCAGGTTAAATAGAGCGGCTTATTAAGGAGACTCTGTTTGGTTGGTTGTAGAGTGGCAAGGGGCGTTATGTATGAATGCAGCATAAGTGCTCGAGTTGACTGCCTGAACTAGCTCGCAGGCTTCGCCCCATATGTTGAAAAGGGGCAGTCTGCCATTTGAACACATCAGATTAGTAATGGGGAAAAGAACTGCGTGCATAGCAATGATCTTTTTTGCATAGCAGAGGTCCGCTATATAGAAATAACAGACCGAAGAATGCAGTTGACAATCAGAATCAAGTATTCACAAATCTATTCAAATATAAATATTATTTTATCCGAGATAATGATCGGTTTGGCCATGTTTTATGCAATTTAGCAAGAGAAGAACAGGTGGGTTCAATGTCAGTTCTGCATGAGTCTGGAGCACAGGTTTTCAATAAAAGACGGGTTTGATCCGGATCTAGGAAGGTAATTTCAGGGGCTTTTTAAAACTGTAAAGACCTTTAATAGGAAGTTCTATTAAACCTGTATAATAAAAACAAATTATTATTAATTATTAACAAAAAAACTGTTGTGACTAACTGGGTTATTGAACATATGCTTTCATGTTGCATGACAGGAGGTGTATCCTCAATTTTTTTCCTTCATCCATACTAAAACCAATTGCTCCCTCTGCTGCTGCAATTGTGTAGTTCCCACAACTTAAATAATAATACAGACTAAAACGTTTTTTTACACCACTTAAAATTCAGGCCTCACACCCTCCCTGTAAAGCTCAGGTGATCAGAGCCTTAAGGCACATGATGATTCACAGATTAGATCATGTGTTGACAGGTCTGTTTAGTTTTTAAAAGGAAAGGGAGAATCCTTTCATCAGATAAAATCTAAATAACACGTCAGAGTCTATTTTTAGCCACACACAGTAAACCTAAAACAAACAAAACGAAAAGATAGAAAATATTTTTTATTACCAAAGTTAAACAACACTTGAATAAAAACAGGACACATGACAATCACTGTCACCATGTAAATCACAAGCCCTGTGCAACATTCCTTATCAATGTCCTCATAACACAGGTTGTCCAAACACAGAAAAGACCTGTCTATGCTGCCCCAGAACGCCTCGTTGGAGATTTCTCTTTTTCTTCCTGGGTACAGTGACGTGACCATACCCAAATGGACCAATCCGTGGAGCTCCTCCCACACACACACTCTCTCAGCGGCGAAACTGTGACACGCTGGGGGGGTGCTAGTGGAGCCTCGCAGCGGCAAAACTGTGGCGCTCTTACACTGTAGGTGCGCCGCGTTTGGGGGTGCGGGTGCTAGTTGAGCCTCGCCGATGGGGGTACTGCAGCCCCCTCAGCACCACCCCCTTCCCGCGTCCATTCGCGATGTCTCGCTGTCTCGCAGATTCCACGCAGCAAGCAGGAAATGAACCCAGCTCACACTGTCCGCTCCTCGCAGCAGACTAGACTAGAGTCTAGACTCTAGTGAGTGGCCCAGACCTTCGTATATTTAGTATATTGCCTCATTAATTCAGTTATAAGTCAGCAAAATCAATCAAATGTAGGTCAATGATGCTTGTGAGTGTTAGCAGCTCATCCCTTCAAACAGAAGCCTCAGATTGCCTAATAAGGAGAAATAGGAAGGGTGTATTTCAAGCTTGTTATGTAAATAAGTCATAGGGCTTTTTTCTTATCAAATAAGATATGTTAGAAAATGTTTCCAACTTTAATTGACTGAATTTATTTGAAAAGTGGTCTTATTAACACATGAATACTACTGTGTAAATAAGACCACTTGTCCATGTTCCATTATACTTTTTTAATTTGCTGAGGGCCGATTCAAAATGGTCCGCGGGCCGCATTTTGCCCCCAGGCCGTACTTTGGACACCCCCGGTTTAAACCTATGAAATAACAATACTAAAGAGTCACTTTGAGTTTGTCATGAGTCGTCAGTTTATTCAATTACAGAAAAAACTTCACGTCAAGGAAAAAGTCC